CCAAAGACATGATGTGTGACTAGTAAAAAGCTTTGATTTAGTTTCAGCAAATTTTGTTTCTATCCAGTAAAGTTCTTGACTTGAGGCTACAACGGCTGCGGATACCTGTTTCTTCACTACCTGATCAAAAAGCTGAAGACAAGATGAACGATCTGAATCATCAATTATTATTTTTCATCTCATTTTTGAGCATGTGTTGTCTCCTTCTTCCATTTCCTCACCTTCTGATGCAGAGATCTCCCTCGTTTTGCCAGGGGCTGTTGTAGCTAGGTCTGTTTCTTCTTATACGATTGACGGGAGAGCGAAATCGAAAGTACTGGAGGCTAGCAGGGCATTCAATACTGAATCAAGGAGAAGGTGTCCCCTCACAGCTCTGGCGACTGCCTTTCCTGAGAGCATATGCACGACGGCATATATCACTTCGAGGAGCTCTCGCAGTCCAGACCCTGTCATCAGATGACCGATGGTTCCCAGGTACCTCATCTGCCATATGAAACCCTCCCAGTTGTAATATTAATGAACGTAGGTGACTGTCAGCAGGCTCACTGTCAACAATAAGCTGAACTTTTCACCAAAGAGGTTGATGAAATGTGAGCACAGGCTTGACCTTATATTTGGCTGCTCCGTTTGATGCAAAGTGGAGAGTGAAATATATGCAACTTATGTTTGTGGGCGGCATGTCGATCATGGGCAAGAAGGTGATCGTGCTCTGACCAGGATAACTTCCTTCTGATACTGTTTGCATCAGTCCAGACCAACCAATACGCGGTGTTCGTAGAGGCCATGAAACTTTCCATAGTAGGTCTAGTTTTTTGGTGGTGTCTTCAAACCTGAAGTCCTGAAGCTCTTCATACTTTTAACGAGATGTCAATCTTTGATGAACTGAAAAAGTGGACAGGGATCTGAACATGGGTGGATGTTTGAAGTGCAGTCACACTGGTATCTCGACGTATCAGCCTGGAAAGCTTCTCATTTGAGGTTGAAGTTCTAATGATTCCCATCCCATGGAAGGTTCCTAAACCGTCCAGTGTTCTAAGGTTGTGATCAACATTGTCTGCCACAAACTGTATAAAGCTGTCACAACTTGCACCAGAAAGACCTGTGCCTTGACTGGAAGCTGCACACTCTTCGAAGCACTGAACTTCATGATAAGAGCAACAGAATCCAAGACTGTGAAACAAGTCAATTGGAGCCCGAGATCCATGAAGGTGATGCAGTTGCACACCTCATTGCTTGCATCATAGCTTGACCAATGGAAGCTGTTTTTAATTTTGTTTCCTTCTTTTTGTTCATTAAAAGTCTGTAGAAATAAAACGAGTG